CAAAGCTTTTATTCACAGAACTCTTGAGTTTATCATTCTGATCAAACTGACATTCCAAAAGTAGCTAAAAGTGTCAGAGATAAAAAAAAAACTGATCAATAAATTTGTAGCTAAAATAAGGGGTTTTCCTCCACCTCTCAGAATAAGGCCATGAAATTAGTTCTCAAAACATCAAACAATCAGAATGCTCCCACAATCACTTAATATGTAATTTAACGAATTATCTGTGTTTTACAAGTGAAGTTTGAAAAAAAGTGCTGCTTTCCTTTTAAAAACACATTACTGTTCCTCCTCCCTACCCAATACAATATTGAAAATCAGAAGAAATTGCAGGTAGTAGTTTTCAACATTGTATGGGGGGTGGGGGCGAGGTTAGGCAGGTGACATATTCGTGTCTGGTGTGTGCGCAAAAGTGCCAAAAGTGCAAATTTGTCTGAAGACCTACTTGTAACAATAACAATGAAGAAATGAAAGTATATGTACCAGTACATGTAGGCATTCCAGACTGAAAGAAGTACACAAGGTGGAGAACTAATTTTTACTTAAANCTACTTGTAACAATAACAATGAAGAAATGAAAGTATATGTACCAGTACATGTAGGCATTCCAGACTGAAAGAAGTACACAAGGTGGAGAACTAATTTTTACTTAAAGGGCTGAGTAGCTCGTCATCAGGGAAGACTCAGGGTACAAATGGAAAGAAAGGTGAAAGTGATGACAAAGTAAAATAATTTAACAAAAAATACTAAATAAGCTACTACATAAATATAGTTAGTACAAGGCTCTAGCACCTTCTTTACATTATTTATAACTCTAATTCTTCTTGGTTTTAATTAGATTAGAAACTAGCTTTCTTTATTCATATCCATCTTTCTTGTCTGTACATATAGCAGTACAAAAATTCTTTTCTTCAAAAGTCTTCAGAGCCCTAGTACCTGTAAAACAACTGAGTTCAATTATTTGACTATGTGTGTTTTATCTGGCCAAGTACAATTACACAGACCTTAAAGAGTTCAAGTTTGGATGAGACCTTCAGCTCCTCATAACCAAATTGTTCCAAATCCCAA